CAATTTATCCTTCACTATTTTCGCGAGTTCCATTTTAATCGTGGACGAAGCACATAATTTAAAAACGGGAGAAACTATTCAAGTGTTTAAAAATTTGAATAAAAAAATGAATGTTTAATATAAAGTGGTATTTTATTAATTTTATTTAATATTTTATCTATTTTATCTATTATATTTTATTTTATTATTTATTATCTTAATTTAATATACATACATATTTAATATATCTTATTTTATTAGGAAACACCTTTTTAATGATGAACTTTATAATTTGTTACATATCTTGGGTCAAAGAATTTTCCAAACCTAAAGAATTAGCAGAAGAATGTTAAGGACTTCCTTCATTGGAACAAATACCTGCTTTACATAAATTACTTAAACAATATTTCTTAAGAAGAACCAAAGAATCAAGTTGAAGGTCTTCTTCCTATGGTGAATATTAATTTTAATAATTAATTGAAGTTAATAATAATAATAAATTAATTATAATAACGGATGGTGTTATAGTACGAATTAGTATGACGCCACATCAAAAAAGAATTTACAAAGAAACTTTTGAAACAAAATAACGAATTTTTACGTCGAGTAGCTAAATCTCGTATAAGGTCAACAGGATTTTCTAATATATTAATGACATTACGACAAATTGTTTCACATCCTTATTTGTGAAGATAATGATTATATTTATGGTAAACTTAATTATATTTATATATTCATATTTTATTTTATTTATTTATGTTTATTTATGTTTATTATGTTTAATATTAATTTAGGATGATTCATCTTCACATGAAGTGAGACAAAAAATATTTCAGCATTTAAAGCATCCGGTTATAATATTTTCATATTTTTATTTCAACTCGAGCAGGTAAAATTTGAGTAAATGAAAGTGCTATTTAAATTATTTAAACTATTAAATGTAAATTAATTATTATTTATCTATTTATTATTATTATTTGGCTGCGGATACGGTTTTTATTCTTGATCCAGATTTTAAATACACGCCAAGATCTTCAAACTTTAAGTCATGTACATAGAATTGATCAAACTAAGGTAATAAATTATATCTTACGTTT